GTACATCACCCTATCTTTAGTTTGGCTAAATCCCACCACAAACTGAAGAGAGGTAAGACAGTGAGCTTCAGATAAATGACTTCTGGCCTGGCAGCCAGAGGTGATTCCAGATTACTGCCTGTTACGGCAGACACATTAAAAGACATTTAGTGGCAAATCTCTAAGCATCAAAGGCATTTTTTTTATTGGAACCATAATAGTTTATATTTAGATAGCTTTTAAGGTTTACAAAGTATTTTACATATTCATTTGATCTTTTACCCACTCATTTTTACCCACTCATTTCCTTACATTTAAAATACTGATGTTCATTCAAAGAGCTTCTAGGTGTTTTTAAACTTCGGTAGGGAGTAGGGGGCAGAGAGGTTACCCTGTGGTTTGAGGATTACAAAGATATCTCTAAACCACAAAGACAGCACTCCACACCCAGGTATTTAAAAAAAGAAATAGATGACACATACTTGAGACAGAAAGATGTTGATTTTATGGTTTATTGTCACATTAAAAAAGTAATCTTACTGATGAATTAATATTTACTTTTTAATATAAAAGTGCTTATTCTTACAAATCCTTAAGGCTCATTCTGTTACATTACAGTAAGATGTTTTACCATTCCAGAAACTGTGCTACATGGGTTTCGTATAAATTATAGAAACAGCAAAATCTCCAAACAGTAAAACAAGTTGTCCATGATTCCATTATCTTTGTACATGTGAACTTTAAAATCAGACAAAATACACAAAAACCAGAAACAAATCATTAAAAATAGATAGGCTTCCCACCCCTTCTAAAGTTTCTGCCATTGAACATATGCACTTTGCTTTGGGAGTTTTGTTTGTTTAGAAAGGGACAAATACAGCTGTGTATAGACACCAAATTTATTTTCTGTCCTTTTACAGAAAGGAGAGAGGGAGAAGAAAAAAGGATTTCATGTTTATGCTGAATTAGGCAGATATGAACAGCCACCAAATTCAAGCCCTGTAGGTCCTCGCATTCCAAACTTCTAGGAAGAAGTCCAGGGAGTAAGAACAAGTCATGAGGAAATGATAGGACTTGTTTACTGTGTATCAACTTTCATTTCCTTTAGAATGAACAGTTCATGAGTTCTGAGAAGGAAATAAAAGAGTGAACCTCATCAAAGTCACTGGTCTGCATTCATGGCATCTAGTAATCACTTTGCTTGTATTACTAAAATACATAGATAAAAGCATATGGTTTTGGCCATCATTAGTAATATAATTTCCCATTTTAATGCATAGTGAAATCATCACATCTATTTCAATTAAAATAGCCACTGTGTACCAACATAAATTCTGGGCTGTCTCCATTACAGGGTCCAAATGCATTAACAAATAGCCTCTAAATGAATCTCATGTAACAAAAATAAAATTAAGTTATCTTAATATAGGATGAACAGACAAAATGAAAATGGTAACTGACCTAATAAATACAGCACTTCAAATCATCCATCAGTGCTATAATGATAATATGTACATTTTTACAGCATAAATTACTGTACAGAATAGTCCCATTTTAAAAAAATTGTTCAATTCTACAATCACTATGACCAATTCTTGTAAGCAAGGGGCAAGTGAAGAGTCTATAATTTGGTATTATAGAGACTAAAGTCTGGATCATTGGAAAAATCTAGTTGGAAATGAGTTGGGCTCCTGAGTGGTCAGTGGCTTCCAGAAAACCAAGAATGTGAAATGCTACATAATGGTAAGGAACTGAATGGAATTTGATGAAACTCACAAGGCCAGAACATGAACCTTGATATCTTTGTGTTATATTACTGTTGCCTTCTCTATGAATAAATATTAACATGACATAACTATGGAATTTTTAGGTTCCTTCATGAGGTGATGCAAATTAAACAGAATTTCAACAACTTGATCCTACAGATGAACAAATCCAACACCTACCCCTGAAAGTTTCCTGCAACTACTGAGAGTTACTGTAGGAGAAATATTTACTAACATCCTGGTAGCAGAAAAAAAAGATGGTTAGTAATGAAACTCACGTTATTAGCAGTTACACTTTATTATTAATGGGTTTTAATGCAGCTAGTGCAATCATATTGGAGATTTTCATTCAAATAGCTACCATACACACTTGCCAGAATTGTGAATTAACCCCCAAAAAAGCTTCACTTTGTTTCTGGGTTTACTTAATTAGGCAGAGTTTTTGTAGGAGATTACATTCATTGACCATTTTCAGTGGCCTCAGGGGAGAGATGGCTGACAAAGTTATTCCTAGTGGCACTAAAAGGGTAAGTTCTGATATTCACAGCCATTATTTTATTAAGTTTCTTGTTAAGCTCCAAGGTTCAATTGGCAACCTGACTTATGCTGTTATCTAAATGACACCCAATATTAGATGAAAATGTCATTTTATCATTTACATAACCAATTTCCACGACACAAAATCCCCAGTGATGACCTGTGTGTTCCAGTTTTCATCCAGATATTTGGTACTGTGTAAATACACTAAGCATCTGATGGCCTAGACAAACCATAATACACTTTTGTCTTCACCTTGTATTGACAAATAATTGGTCCATAATTAACCTGACCATCCAAAAGGGCCCCTTTTAGTCCACTAGAAATTCTTTTTATCTTTATACCAAGAAAGGTTTTTCTTTTCCTAAGCTTAGGACAGACCCAAACCCTATGCTAGTAGATCTTACCCTCAGGCCAAGCCCTTGCAGCAGATTTTCAGACACATTTTACCCTCAGAAGGAAAAAAAGGTATGTGAATCCTATTGTTCTTATTCAGTCCCATAGTATTAAAGGCTATAGGGAGAAAGATCAGAAAAGGTTCACATTACTAAATGAGTGTGAAAATAGTGCCCATTTTTAGATTAGGCTCAGCAGCAACCACTTAGACCCTACTGCAAATGTCTGAAGCAAGATTTTCAGTGATTTATTTTCCTACTTGTGGGGAGGTGGTGGGAAGTAGTTAAGTTGAGGAAGATTCTTCCTCTTTTCAGCAAGATGATCTCATATTTCCCAAGGCCAAACAATGAAAAATAAGTATGGGTCACAGGAGGGTGGAGACTAAGTCACCAACCATAAGTTACTTAGCAACCCTGGCACCTGGCAAAGAGAGTACACACACTCTTGTTTGCTAATTAGTACTCTGCACATGGCTAGAAACAGGGTAGCAACAAAGGTAACATCTATCTCCTTCACCTACTGTCCAGAGGGAAAATTTCCCAGCCTTGGGAACCTGTATTTCCCTCCTCTCCAGTATAAGATTATTCTAGTCACCCTCCAGTTTCTAGCTTTCTGAATTGAAGTTGAGGCTGGGAATTTTTCTTAAAAGGTTAGCAGTAGGGAGTATGATTTTTAAATCTCGTGATTCCCGCAGGTTTGAATATAGGAGTTTGCAGATGTACTGAATATTTTTTATGAGTGTTGCTGCCATAGTAACCACATTAATACCTCCTGAGCACTTGGTAACTTGGGATCTCAAAGTACATGAACAAACCTTTGATTCACGTGTTGTTTCAGTGAGGTAGGTAGGTGGTGTTGGGAATCTCATTTACCAAGGAAGGAAACTGAGGCATGGAGAAGCAGCTTTGCTCAAGGTCACATACAACAGGGCAGTAAGGAGGGATGGGATTAGGGGTCACACTCCCTCCACTTACACACTGCAATTTTGCTTTCTCAGTGCCCCACCGTGATTTGACTCTGCCCTACTGAAAAGTTAATATGTTGAATCTGTGACTTCTAGAGTATTGCATAGGGGGGAAAAAGACAAAGGAACAATGCAGGTCACAGATAAGGGCATTTTGGTCTGAGTTGACTACTCTAGAAATTGCAAGGGATAAATAGTATGTAAATTGCTAAAGAGTTAATATTCATATTTTACTACACGAATATGCCTCTGTGTATTTGTGAAGACTTTGGTGATGCTACAATAGTTTCTCTAGTTAACTAAAGACTTGGGGGGGGTTATGCATAGGATTATTGCCATCATAACTTATAGAGCCATGCCCTGGCTTTGTAGTGATTTGTATACTGCTGGGGTAAGATGACAAAAAAGATACAAAGAGAATTCCTTTAAAAGTTAAATTATCTTTAGCCACAGTGAATAAAACATAATCCAGATGATATTCTCCAGAGGCACATCTCTGGATATAAATATTTTTTCCTTTTCTTCCTAGTTTGCTTAGTTTTGAATATCCAGAACACCCCCCCCATTCCAGGGGAAAAGAGAAATTTTTACCTTATGGAAAACTGAAAAAAAATTAACGATTATTGATATAGAGGTTGAAGGGATTTTATAGTCCAGTGTTTAACCCTCTAATTTTACAAATGAGGAAACTGAGGCACGGAGAAGTTGTGTGTAACTTGTCCAGGGTCACACAGTTGGTAAGGAATACTAAAGAAACTAAAAACCTTACATTTTCTACCAAAGTCTACAAAACTCAAGTTTAAAACCATCTCTAGAAACAAAAATGATTTTTGCCATATAAAATAAGCAGGCTATTATTTAATTTTTTAGATCTCATCAATACTTACTGACACTTAAACATTACAGCTGGGCCCAATGCTCACTAATAATTACTGTCTCACATTCACTCCTCAGATCAATGCATTTTAAAATTGGCTGTAAGAGGTAAATTGTCAACTTAATACATGAGGATTTAATCCCTTGATTCCCATTAGTGTGAGTGAGAGCTGTGATGCTAAATCCCTCTGCATCCCATCAACACTGTACTCTCCCCCCAGTGGACTTATGGTACCAATTAATTATAAGAATGAACCATGGTCATATGCAATTAGTTAGAGAGGGTAGTTATTATAATTTTCCTTATGTCAAACAAACAAGGGTAGTCGGTCTGACAGCAGAATGTTTCAGTATGGACAAAGGGAAAATGAATCAGAAGCCTAAAAGATTCCTATGCCATTAGCCAGAACAATTTATTAAGATTTAAAAGCTACTGTTTCTTAGAAATGGGCACATGAGAAAATAGAAGAACTGACCCCAAATTTGAAATTCAGTTTTATTTATTATTGGTTTTCACTTTTCTTTTTATATTTTGTGAATCTCCACTGGTTCCAAGTTTCAGTTAAAATGGAAGCGCTGCAAAACAGAAAGTGATTCTGTTGGAGTTTAGCCCTCATTCAAGTTTAATCCAAGGTGGGAAACACCACTGTCCAAAGGACACATTATCTCCGAAGGATACCTCCTCATTGGAAGATCTCTAGTGAAAGGAATGCAAAGTATTCTCTCCCTCTTTTTTCGGAGAATGACCCAGTCCTTCATGGTCATTGTGCCCAGGGCCCTGCTGAGGGATTAACTGAACCCATCTGACTAGCTGAATGTAACCTCTGAAAGTCACCCATTGCTACTTTTTGGCCAGATATTTGAGAATAGCTCAAAGAAGTATGGCAGGACAAAAAGTGAAAGGGCTTGAAATAACTTTGTTGAAATGGACAAAGGTAGAAAGAGAGGTTTCTGAAGGGAGAGCCTTAAGATGTAATTTTTTTAAAGTTCTTTTTCCTACACAGGAGGACATAGCATGCCAAGTCACTGTTCTAATACCTGCATTTTCTTCCATTAAAAGTTCACATTAAATTTTTTTTTTAAAAGGCTAGCAAAAGTATAATGGTGTCAGGAGTTGGAAAATGGCACACTGCAAGTCAAGTCATTTGCTCCTTCAGCTTAAGATGAGCTCAGACACCTCATTTCGGCACTGACGCGAGATAACGAGCTAGTACTTCAGGAATAAATCAATATATATCAGTTAGACTCAAAAATACATGTGTAAACATGCATTTTTGAGGCCTTTTGTTTCTTTTGGACAGTTCTCTGGTGAATTAGGCGTGTGTGTATATGTACGTGTGTGCGTATGTATAGAGGGCCTGTAGAAGGCTTGGAGGGGCAGCATAAGGAAGGAACGGTAGAATTCATGAAGAGAATATATATCTTTGCATCAAGAATTAGGCATATTATGCTAATTATCTAGTGGGTATTCAATAAAACTATGCGTAAAAAGGATGCTTCATGAATGAAAGATACTGATTTGAAAAACATTTCAATTTTGAATTTTTCTTATAAAAATTTATGGAATTCAGTTGATATTCTTTACTTACAATTCAACTTCTCCCATTTTACAGCATAAACCACTTAATGTAACATCTGCAACCTCAGAAAGGCAGACATGTTTATAAATTCCAATTTCATGAGGATTAAAAAAAAACACAGATAAATCACAAGAATATTCTGTACATGCATTAAGGCTGGTGACTGCTAAAGTCTCTTGGGTATCTAGAAACAGATAAACCACAATGTTAACTGGGTGTGCAGAGTGTCTACTTCCTTAGGAAAAAAAAATTCTGCTTTTTTTGTGTAATATAGATTTTTTTTTTAACAGTAGCTCTGGAAAAACTGTGAAAACTGTGGAAAAATGTTATTTAAAAATATACATGTATACATGTGTATATATACTTCATATATATTATACATAAATACTACTGCACAGTTTCAAAGATGTAATCTTAATTTATGATTAGCTGCACTAATTAATTTTGTAACAATTACTGCACTTCCAAGGTGAAATGAACATCCAGTGACATGTACTCAATATTTAGGCACTAGTAATATCCTTCAGGCTGACTATATTTTTATGGTTTAGCTGTATTGTATACATTATATTTAAATGTATTCATTTATACAAACTGTATATTATGTATGGAGTGCCAGAAACGTACACATCATGATGCAATGCATATATAATTGTTATAAATATGATAATTGATTTTTAGTGCAGAAAGTTTCCTTGTATTGCATTTCATGTGCTTAAATGTGGTAAACAATTTGAAAGCACTTCAACTTATTATTCCATCTTCTTCATTTTGTGGGACTGAGTTCCTATCTACAATATTAAGAAGTATTTTTTTAACCAAATCTCTCTCTCTTTGCATAATTCTACACAAGTCTGATTTGCGAAGGCATATCTAATCAAAATATTTCTTAAGGAATGTATAACAAATGCCAGATTTTGGCATGGGATATATTTGGATTACTCCCATTTGAAGGTAATTCTGTCATCGTGATTAAGGACAAGCTCCTAGTAAAGTTGTAGAGGGCTTGACCTCAATCAAGCCCATATTTGGTTCCTGAGAACAGAATTTGTCTTCAAAATTAAAAAGAGGTCAAATGCAAAGATATATAGAATATTAAAAGAATGAAAAAGGATAGGATAGGAATGACTTTTATAAACAGCAATCAAGAGAAGACCAGTCACTAAAATTTTCTTCTGTCACAGTTCTTCTGTTTCCAAATGAAACAGATGCTATTGCCTCACCATTTAGGGCAGAGGAAACAAACACCTGTGATATAATCATCTACTCTAATCATCACCAAAATGACCCACTGCTAAAAGCCTTGTTTGAAATAATGATTGCCAAGTCACCAACCAAAACGTTGTTAACATAATTAGTCTAAGTATACTCCCTCATTTAATTCAGTTTCATGATTAGATCGGGGATTTACCAGAAACAAAACAAAAAACAAAAAACGTACATAACTTAAAAAAGACTTAGCAGAGATACTTGTGACGCAAACTATGTTACAGCATCATAGAAGAGTGCTGCAAAGCATCTCTATGGATGTATGAGAGAGGTCTAACCTTTCTTCAGAGTTCATAAGGATTAAAAAAAAATGTATGACTCTAAATTCTACATATGCAACTAAAGTTTCCAAAAGAGGACAGAATTGTAGAGATGTGCCAATAGGTCAGAAGTACCTATGAAAATCTATGCAGCACACAAGGTGAAATGAATATTGAAAAAAATAATACTGAGTTAATATAACCCAAACACACTGAGACAAAAGCCCAAGAAAAGTTTGGTAAGCCCCTCACTCACTGAGGCATAAACTTCCAAATTAACTTCAAAATCATCACCAAAATGGCTCTAACATTTACACAACTTGAAACGAGTAAAGAGAGCTAAGAAATTTTGGTGGACTTGACCTTCCAACTAAATATCAGGCTGACGAATGTGAAACATGCCACAACCAAAGGAATGAGAACATCAGTACCTAGAGGCTGGGTGTACATCAGCATCTCTTCTAAATCCCTTTTAGCTCTACTGCCTTGAAATAGTTTAAGCAACATACTGTATCATATCCCTTCTTTAGGGTGAACTGATATGTATGCAATGGTGCTATCAGTAGGATGCATTACACAGATATAAAATATACACACATGTATAAACACACACATACACAGAGTTTGGACATGTTAGGCTTTGGAAAGATATGGCTATTTTTTATGACCCAAAGGTTTTTTTTTCCTGGGACATTTTCTCAACTCCAAAGCTCAAATTAGAAGTGACAAAATCTGATTAAGGCTGTATTTCCAATGAAAACTGAAAATAATAAAAGATGTCAAAAGAGTGAACATAAAGCTAATAATAAACAGAAATGTACTGATGGCAAAGGGAAGTATGCATATGACTTACTACAGATGATACAAATAGGCATTGATCTCTGTTGACCCCAACAAAACCGTTTTTGTTGCAGGATTAACACCACCCTTCAGCCCTCTCCTCAATAAAAGGCAGCTTGTCAACAGTGACTGGAAATGTTTCCCAAATCAAGAAATATTAAAGCCTTGCACTAGTGGATTATGCAAGAAGAGTGAGAGGATTATATGGAATTATTATAGTAATGGTTCTTAGCATGATAAGCAGCAAACCCAGACTTTTGGTAAGGAGACAGTCTAGGTTATGTCTCGATTTGGCCTACATTTGCAAGAAAGCTATCATGGAAAAGACTTTTAAAATTTCTGGCAGTTAGATAAGACATTGCTCCATATGGCCATTACAAAAGAGACAGAGAACTGAAAATGTATGTATATGTGTGTCTGATGTCACCTGTGTAAGTGAATTCTGCTTTTCAGCTGCAAAGCCTTGCTACATGTTTTTAATATCCATTTAGGTTCCAAGCCGTTAGATTTTTTCTTTTGTTCATTTCAGTGCCATTACTACCACTCTAATTGGGGGGGGGGGCAGGGGAAGGAAGAGGAAGGTAATTAGGAAAAAATCTCTTTTGCTTACTGTTGTATTTTTTAGGTGATAATAAGGCTGAAAGACAGGTAAAGTTATAATAGAAAAGAGCAATAATTAAGGTAACATGAAATCCACTGAAACTTCCTGCACAAAAAACAACATATTCAACTCTGTTTTTCAATTACTCATCAACTCACACCAATCTGCAAGTAGGGGGAAGATAGTACATTAAGACTGAGAAAAAGATCAATAACGTATGTTCTAGGAGCATCTAAACTGGCAGTCAAGCTTTCAATGTGCTTTATTGCACTTGATTAACTAACCCATGAGATTTTGGCTGAATTTTCTAAGAATCCAAGGTATAATATTGAAATAGAAAGCAAATGGGGTGTGTGTGTTTGTGTGTGTGTGTATGTATGTATGTATGAATGTATGTGTGCATTTTCCCTAATCTGACACCTCTGATCACTTCTGTCTATCCTAAGGTTATGGGGACTACAGGAGAAGATGAATTCTGAAGAGCTGCATATATTTTACAAATATACACAGACAACCTCAGACATACCCACACTTACAAATACACACACACACACACACACACACACACGCCCTAGAAAAATATCATTGTTCGATGCTGAAGAAATATTCACCTTCATTTGGATAAATGCTGTGACTGAGAATTTCGGTAGCACAGTGTCCAGAATAATTGAACAGTCCATGGGAGATTATTACACAGTCTGGCTAAATGGCACGCAATCACTATGATGAGTGAACACTATTTCGCAGCCAATGCAGTCCTTGCTGGGAGTACTGAACTAGGTGTTCCATACTGCTATGCAGGGTGACAGGCCCCATCAGCAAATCCAGATCATTAAAGAACTCTAGGGAAAAGAAACAGTCATTATTTAAAAGGGAATCCAGTCATATCTGTGAATGAAATCACACTGAACAACTTGGGGAAAAAAAATCACCCATGGCTTCTATTCATCAAGGATTCTGTTCCATTCATGTTACAACCACAAATATCAGGAAAAGGAAAAAAAGATGGAAAGCTGGAAGAAAAGGAGAATGGAAGAGAGACAGAGGAGAAGAGAAAAAAGGGAAAAGGAAAACAGAAAAGATTAAAGGATTATGCATTAATAGATTATCTAGAAGGCATACAAATAATAATATAGGACATTTCTGGATCAAACAAACTAAACACAATTTTTCAGCATTCTGATCTCTCAATCTGTGCCCTAGTTGGTGTTTGACTTTTTTGTGCTCTTTTGAACATGTAGTCTAAGGAAGTAGTAATGTTTCTCATAATACTTTTGTGTCATTGGTGTTGGTACCATATTTCTAATGGGTACCCAGTCAACTTCTGAGATGGAGGAAAAGGACCATGCAGGCAGTAGAATAACCATAGCTGAACCAGTGATGGGAGCAGAGCAGGAAGAGGTGGGATTGTCCTCATCCTTGCATTCATGATTGGGGGAAGATGGCTGGGAGCTCTGCTCAGCTTCTCCAAGGTGGAAATGAGGATGCCAGGCTATTGGGAAAGCAAGGAAGGTGGTTGTGATAATATCCCTATTTTAACTTTCATTTTCTCTGCCTCAGTGTGCTACTGATGACACCTTCTGATATTGGGTATTTCTTTGTGTTTCCTAGTGAGTATTTATAGGCTGATGTCTTGTTTCTTCAGCTTCTCTTCCTTAACACAAGAAAATATCCTATGCAATAAGAATAACCTTTAAAAACAACAATAGAAACTACTTAGGCCCTTATTTGGGGGGGGGGGAAGGTTCAACCCTTACAGAATCCCAGAATTGGAAGGAATCTGAGAGGTCATCTAGTCTAATCCATAAACTGAACAGATAGCCTCCCTTCCATGCCTTTGACGAGTAGTCATCCAGCTACCACCTGACTTCCACTTTTAAGGAATTCACTAATTACTGAGGCAGCTCATTTGACTTTTGGACAACTCCTAATTGTCAAGAAGTTTTTCCTTCTATTAAGCTGACTACTCTGGGAACAAGCAAAAAAAGGCTAATAATACCTCTTCCACAGGACAATTCTTCAAATATGCAACAGAAGTTACCCTAACCCCCAAGTTTTTGCTTCTGCAGTTCCTTTGATTAATCTTTTTTTTAGGCAATTGGGGTTAAATGACTTGCCCAGGGTCACACATCTAGTAAGTGACAAGTGTTTGGTCTGAGGCCACATTTGAACTCAGGTCCTCCTGACTTCAGGGCCAGTGCTCTATCCACTGTGCCACCGAGCTGCCCCTCCTTTGATTAATCTTCACATGATGTGTTTTCCAATTTCCAAACTCTCTCCTAGTTTGGATATACTCCAGTTTATAAATGGCTTTCCTAAAATGTGGAACAGCTGACAAAAGTCAGAAGGCAGTGAGGCTATAATCTCCCTTGTTCTGTTTATCACGCTTCTATTAATGCAGCCCACATATTACTTTGACTTTTTTAGCTAGCATGTCAAAACTGATGCTGTATCATTTAATAAATATAAAAACACTAGTAAGGCAAAGTGAGACATGAACGCAGTTAGGTAGCTTTATGGAGGTACTGATACTGTGATGATCATTCGCTCTCTTGGTACACCAAACAATTTTCATCTATCATTTTCTTTCAGTCCCTTAAGCAAGGTACCGAGGCGGTACAAGTGTTTCCAGAAGCCCCGAGTTCAGCTCCTTAGATACTTACTGTGTTACCTTGGACGAGTTATTTCACTCCTCTCTACCTCAGTTTCCTCACCTGTAAAATGAGGATGATAACAGCACCTCCCAGGGTTGTTGTAAGCATCAAATGAGATAGCATGTATAGCCTTTTGCAAACTTTAAAGTGCTATATAAATGCTGGTCGCTATTATTACTGTTATCATCATCATTCTAAGAAGTGATAACTGTTGGATCTCCCATAGGGCACCCAATGCAAGAAAGAGATTAGAGCTCCCCTCATAGGGAAAAAGGGATGAGATCTAAAGTATGAGTGTACATCGAAAGCCAGGATGAGTCAGGATCTGGAATTCTTGGGCACACCAAATCCAAAGGGCAGAGTTGGAACTGGGAAGCCAGGAGTCAGAGAGAGGATCTAAAGCCAGGCAGGTCTCCACAGACATGTGGCAGCATACCAGCACAGAAGCATAACCCTTCGCCTTTGTATGTCTCCGCCCTTCTTTAATTGGGGTGATATTTCTTACCTCCTTCTTTCTATTATGCCAGGCTGGATGCTGGCATTTTCCCCTCCTCCCTCCAATACATTTGTGAAGCAGCGGGAAGGACATCAGACTTAACCTGAAACACCTCCCTGGCCCCTGAGGCCACGGCATGGTGGGATGTTGCTGGAAGCCACTTTGTTTATAAGCGACTCCACTGTGCCAGCCTCCGGCTCCCTCAGGTAGTTATTAAAGACAGGGACTATGGTACGTGTGAGGAGTTCTAGACAAACTTGAAGATGTCAATCATAGTTTGCAAAAAAGGGTGTGTTCTTGAATGAAGGAAGGAATGAATGGACCAAATTATTGTCACAAAAAATCTGAGGTGGTAAATAGAGATGTTTGTAGTTATTCTACAGGAGGCATTATCATCCAAGAAATTGTTCACAGATCTGTTATCCATGTCAGACTAAGGAATGGTATCATGAAAAGGTGAATCTTTAACTAGGGGCACAAAATAGTACAACCAGAACTGACACAGAATGAGGTGAGAGCGAAGGCTGTGGAACTAGTCAATTTTTTTCAGGAACAGGTTGGTAGCCTCAGTTGTAATGGGATGTTCACTTTGGGGGAGAAATTAGGCGGGAGAAATTAAGCTATGCTGGCCAAAATGTCTACCACTAACAAAATGGGATTGTATTTCTTTTCTTTTTGTTTTCTCTTTTTTTGCGAGGCAATGGGGTGAAGTGACTTGCCCAGAGTCATACAGCTAGTTAAGCGTCAAGTGTCTGAGGCCAGATGTGAACTCAGGTCTTCCTGAATTCAGGGCCAGTACATTAACCATTGTGCCATCTAGCTGCCCCTGGGATTGTATTTCTTAAGTGGGGATAGATAAAATCCAGCGTTATCATCACCCAGGGATAGAAGAGAATTGGCAGGGTTTGCAACAAACCTACCAACCCTGCCCTCCCCCTGCCACTGAAGTCATTGGCCAGAGTACATATTTTACAAGACTAGATATGCCTGAAGGTGTTTCATCAGAATCATTTCTATCAAAAGTCAAAGGTGACTGTGTCTAAGATTTAGAACAGGGCCTAGTAGCCTCATGATGAGCCACTGGGGCAAAGGTGGAATCCTGCTTATTGAGGATACATGAGTTACCAAAGTATAGGATGACATCTGAGATTGACCTTTATTCAGCTACAGGTATTTAAGCTGGCCTAGAAAGTGGACATTTAGGACAGAATGTAAGCAACCAGTCCCTGATCCTAGTGCTGCCTGATCTGTTCTGGCTAAGGTTGAATGGCTAGAGAGTTAAAAGTTTGTGGGAGGGCCTGTCTATCTGATACACTTGGTACCCAAATTCTGTTTTCTGTAAAGCATGTTTGCCTGCATATTGTGATGGCCAGGAACGGAGGTGATGGTGAAAATGAATTAACTAAAAATAGTGCACAATGGATTTAATGTTGATTGAACAGCCCAAGTATTCCAAAGATGTTTTACATACTTATGGTGTCGATGATGGGATGCTCAATGTCCTCAAGGTGGTGCTTCCATGCCATATGTGGGACTTTAACTGTGAGTTCCTCCCCCCACACTTAATAGTTTTTGCCTTTACCTGTCAAACTGGCAGGGATTAGAATGAATGGAGTTGGGGTGCAGAGAGCAGTAGGGCCTGTGAAGGAAGAGCTCTCACAGTGACATTGGATGCATGATCATAGGGCTTAGATGCCTCAGGGTCTTCATGCCTTCCTTGTTCCATGTCCACTAGCCTACCAGAAAGTCATGAAGTGCTTCAGCCAGCTTTAGAGAGGTACAAGGGTATTGCTGGGATCAGTTTGAACTGGAGCCAGTTGTTAAATTTTCAGTGTGCACATTTACACCTCAGAACTCAGCAAACAGCTACAAATCCAGGCTTGATTTATTGTTTGGTTAATTGTCTAGATTTAAGAAAGTGATTGATAAAATGTTAATAATGCACTGGCTTGACCACTGTCTGCTACAGGCAGTTTGTACTAAATAAGATGCTGACTAGGACAATCAGTTGGCCTGGGGTGAAACCTCTTCCTTCCCTTCCCCCGCCAATCTAGTAAAAGAAATACAGGGTCCAAAGCATCACTGTAAATCCAAGACAAGGCCAGGCCATGAATCAAGGTTCTTAGAAATGGCAATTCTAAGAGCTGAGATGGAAGGAGGCAGGAGCAGACACTGGAATTTCAAGTTAAGATGGTTTCTATGAAGAACAGGAACCATTTCCAGAAGTGATGGTGAAATGATTATCTGATATAAAATATCTCATCTGGGCTTTGTCATTGAAGTGGTGAGCATTCCCTATTCTTATGCCTTGCATGTACTAGGTATACAACAGCTCAGGCATCAGGACCTCTCCTTGCTCTGCTGCAACCATAAAGTTATGGGAATAATCACCTCCCTGGATAATGACAGAATGCCATTTAGAAGCTGACTTTTCTCCTTTGCTGTGGAATAACCTTGTCATTTCTGAATTGATTTTCTTTACTCAGTGCTTGAGCAAGGAAGGTACCTGCCACATTTATTTTGTTTTTATATTTTAGCAGCTCCTAGTGGGGTTGCAGATAGGGGCAGGAAAATGGAGAAAATGGAGGTAGGAATTGACTCTTTTCTTAGGTCACAGTCAGAATGCCCCTTTAATCTGATGTCAAAGAAGTCTGCCCAATGGTGCTAAGCAACGTTGAGATTTAAAAAAAACACACATATGTTATATATAATCTTTGAATATAACTATGGCTCTGGCATTCATTTTATGTCACAAATATTATAAATATTTTCTCTGTAGGGGTGTAAAAGCAATTTACTGATATTTCTTGAATTCTCCATCACATCTTTGTGAGACAGGTATGTAGAAAATATTGGATTATGTTATCTGTCAGTGAATCAGGGTGCAGTGGAATTCTCTCCTGACTGCAGGACTCCTGTGACAACATAACAATAGTAATGACAACAACAATAATAACTAATAAAAACTAGCATTTATTTTGCTTTAGGTTTTTTGCAAAGCACTTCACAAATATTATCTCATTTTATCCTCACGACCACCCTGGGAGGTAGATGCCATGATTATCTACACTTTAAAGTTAAGAAAACTGAGGCAGAAGTTAAGTGACTTGTACAGGGTCATAGAGCTATTAAGCAACTGAGGCTGAATTTAAATTCAGGTCTTCCTTAACCCAGGTCAAGAGCTCTATGCATTGTACCACCTAGCTGCCAACATCACCAGATTATTATGCTGTTTCTGCTTAGTTATATTATTGGAGGTGCTATTTATTGGTGGCACATTGGTCACCTTGATGAACTATGTACGGTTTTGGCTAGGTGATTTATTTTAAGAGGGACACTGATAAACTGGAATGTCCATAGCAGAGTGACCAGGATGCTATAAGGGTCTAGAACCCACAACACTTGAGAAATAATTGAAGAAGCAGGAGATAATGAACCTAGAGAAAAAAAGATACAGAGGAGGCTATGATTGTTTTCAAATATTTAAAGAGTTGTCCACGAGGAAGAGAGATTAGCTATAGCTACACAAAAGCACAGCTCCAGAGGGCAGAACTAGAAACAACAGAAGATTTTTTCTGTCCAGCATACAAAGCAATTAGAACTGACCAAAACTAGAATGGGCTTACTGCAGAAGTTAGTGCTTTTCCTATCACTAGAAATGCTTAAATGGAGAGTGAGTGACTACTTCTGGGGGATGCTGCCTTAGGTTAGAAGACTTCTTAGTCACTTCCAATGTTAAAATTCTATGATTTCCTCAAATCTGGCTCCAACTTTATCTCCTACTGTTACCCTATGTGAATCCATTCTCTAGTCAGGAACCATGGTAACTATTTCTCAAGAATTTTAAAAAGATTTTCAACTCTTTATTTCATCTCACAATGTTTTCCCACCTGTAAGGAGATCCCTGGTCCTTATTTACTGATCCTTCAAGGCCCAGGACAAATTCCAACTCCTTCATGAAGCCATAAAGTCCCATATGACCACACCAGCCCCCAGTTCTCTTCTGAACTCACAAAGAACTCATTGTCTGGGACATTATTCATTTGCTACTTAACATATGCTGCTTATACTGTCTTCCCTCTAAGTCTGTAAACTCCTTCATGTCAGATTCTATATACTTCTTTGTATGCCCCACCAGAAACTATATATACTACTTTCTTCACACTAGATACATAACAAATTTGATTGAGAAAAACAATGCCAATTAGGAAGTAAAATCTTCCAACAAAAACTTTCCACTGGCAATATGGTATAATGGCTAGCACTCTGGAGACCTAAATTTGAATCTTGGCTCTAATATTTACTATTTATTGGGAAGTCATTTAGCATTTCTGAACCTTAGTTTCCTCATTTGTAATACGGGGATAATACTTATTGCATACATCAGAAGGTTACTGTGAGGGAATCCCTTTGGAAAATTTAAGGCTGTACAGACATGTGAGTTATTATGTCTGGGAACTTATCACAGTGAGCATCTTAATGCTTAAGTACATAATAATAATAATGATAGCTGACACTGCCATAGGGCTATAAAGCTGACATTTCAATAGAGCCTTAAGATTTCCAAAGTACTTTTCTTACAAATGGGTCATTTTGCAGGTATTATCATTCTCATTTTATAGATGAGAACAATGAAGAACCACAGAGATAAAAGAGACTTGACCAAGGGCTAGACTTCCAGCCTCAGAATTATAACTACAATTCCACTGCTTTTTTCTAATGCTAGTAAGTGGTGGGTAGTGCTGGGACTCAAACCCTAATCCTGTGACTCCTATTGTAGCATTCTTTACAATGCACTGTGACAGCTAAACCTTATATCATGCCAATAAATCAACTACACCTCCAGATTCTAGCTAGTGGGCCAGGTTTTTTTGTTTTTGTTTTTACATTGCATACCTCTATTCTCCTTGGCGAGGTTGTCTGCCATCTCCCAGTAGTCATAGCTGTGTAGAATGCTGTTGGTGATGCTGACATGGTTGGCTGCCATCTGATGGATCCTATGTGGAATGCTAATTATGGATGATGGCGAAGGGGTGCTAGTGCTTGAGAGACTCCCCTGAGATCCCACCGAGCTGACTGGAGAAGGGTTGGGAGACATGGGGGATGGAGTTCCTGTGCTCCTACACAAGAGAAGATTGAAAAGCAAAATACTAAAGAGAGATAAGTGTAGGATGGGTTATGTAGGACAATACTTGGGTGCACTTGAATGTTAACAAGCAGTTTCATAGGATCATACAGAATTAGTTTCCATTCAGTAAAGTCAACTTACTTTCCACTGGCACCCCATGGAGATGGGGCCTGGGCAGCTTTAGATGAATTCTGTGGAGGCAAGAAGTGGATTTACTGAGGGTTTAATTTTCTTAACACAGAAGCAGGAGGACACATCATTGCAAACTTAGAGAGTAACATAAATTGAAATCAGAGATAGAAAAGAACTTAAAAAAAATGAAAAGAATAAAGAATATGCATTACATTCACTCTGGAAGCACATTATTGAATATGCTTCCCTAAAAGACAGGGCAATTAAATTTTTTTTTTAATATGGTAAGAAGACCACATTACATGAACCAAACATTTATATCCAGAAATTGAAAAGAAGTTTTGCATTTACCAGTAAAAGTTGTTAAATGGACTGTGTGCGTATATATATAACAACTAATAATGCTTTCTTGGGTGTTAATCTGTAGGACTGTTATGGGGGGAAATGGTTTTTGTGATGCCAATGTGAATTTTTCCTCTTTGGAGTCTAAAGCACAAGCATCATTCTTGGTTTTGCAGAGAGAAGTGTTGCTTTGATTTAGCAAATCAGAGAAAGCTAAGTATAGAAGAGGTATCACAGAAGCACTTTATGAAATGGAGACTGAATTTTTACTTCATGTGAGTAGCGCTATTCAAAATTACATGAAACAATCTGTCAGAAATCTAAGGGACTATGGCAGTAGGTACCATATAAATGCAAGAACAGAATTGTACACTGTACCATTTACTAAGAAAAATAAAACCATTTTTATAAGGAGGGGAAAAAAGCTCCTAATAGATCAGCCAATATTATTTTTTTCCTAGAATCAAGAGAGACACTTTTCTTAATCTAGCATTAATGGATATATCTGCTTTGTTTTTCTCTCCTAGTTATTAAAATTTAGGCACCCAATATAGACTATTAAAAGTATACTTTGACTGTAATAAACCTGAGCAGAAGAGTTCTATGGTACTAGAAAGAGATGAAGAAGGATGGTAAGCAGGAAAGAAAATGCCTAATTCTTCCTAGCCATCCTAAAAATTGAAGCCCCCTAATTTAAAGGGAAGTGGGTATGGACAGAAAGATCATCTTTTAGTGTCAGCTTTGCATGGGGAAACTGAATTCCTTTCCACCATACTGTCATTTTTACCCAAAGGTCTTATAATTACTGAACTTTAGTCAATGTTTCAATAATCTCTAATTGTAAATACCTGCTTTGTATTATAAATTCCCAAAGGAGAAGAATCGTGTTTTATGTTCAATATGGTATTTATTCTGTACTTATTCTTAAAGATAGATTGGAGATAATGGACAAATAAAAAGACAATCTGTCATCATTACGTCAGGGAAATTTTCTATGTTTGTTTTTGTTTTTGTTTTTTTGGCTAGGCAATGGGGTTAAGTGCCTTGCCTAGGGTCACAGAGCTAGTAAGTGTCAAGTGTCTGAGGCCACATTCGAACTCAGGTCCTCCTGACTCCAGGGCCGGTGCTCTATCCACTGTGCCACCTACCTGCCCCAGGGAAATTCTCTAATCCACTCCTCATTCATTATGCTTGGTGCTTACATTTAACCACAAAAACTCTTCCCTTTAATATAAGGTTTCCTTTTAGGTGCCAAAGTTCAAAACATTTACCACATTTCTGACTTTGACCCCATGTTCCAAAAGTCAAAAATAAGGCCACACACATATTGTGTAGGTTCCAATACTCTTCTCATTTGAGACAAATGATATTTAGTTGACCATGGCTCAGAATACTCTCTACTCTGTTTTGGATAAACTGTTCAGCTGAATGCTATGAAGAAGACGGCTGCAAAGAATATTCTTTTTTTTTCCAGCTAGGAACATAACTGTTTCTATTTGGTTCACAAGGTCTCCAGGACATGTATGAGGCTCTAGCCTCTAGTGAGGCTAGAAAACAGGCTTTCTGGGAAGTGAGGATGGCAACTGACTCCTAAACTTCCTGAGGTGTGTGCTGATTGGTGAGTTCCTGGCTGTGAATGCCATATATATCTTGAGGAACACAGTCTCCAGTCTGCTCTACCTCCACACCAGCTACCTTGCTTGTCTAAGGTTGACCCTGTCTTGAGGGGTCCTCATTGAATGAAGAGTTCTCTCTAAGAAAGTATTAGGAACAGGGATATTTCATTTTTTTGTTCTCATAGGAATTGCTTCTACATGAGTCAATAGGGGTCTCTGATACAAATGAAACTAGACAAAGGAGCAGTTGCCACAGTATGTGAGAGATCACAGGATCATAGCTTTAGAGCAAGGAGGGGCCTTGAAGCTCATTTAGACCAACTCTCTCATTTGAAAGGAAACCGAAGCACAGAGGAGTGAAATGATTTGCTCAAGATCACACAGGTGAAAAATGGCAGAGGATTATGCTACAGAGAATGGTGAGCTTTAAGAGAAAATACAGTTAAAGGGCAGAAGCTCTGAATTAGCTATAAGTAACAATGTCCTGATAGGATGGCTAAATATTATAATGAGTTGTTGAGGGATTAGGTGTATTCTTTCTCTTGAGGGTTTAAGGAATACTACTGGTTATCATGGGGAGAAGAGATATGGAACATCCTGAAATAAGAAAATATATTAGATGGCTTCTCCAAGGCCTCCTCAGTCCTAAAACTCAGTGGTTGTGTCGTAAACTGGTTTCATATATACACTGAGGGAACACACTGTCATCTGCTTGAAAGCAATGGATTCTGTCAATCTAATCACATTTACTCTCAACAGGGTCTTAAAACAATAGACAGCATATTTTTGAATATACTATATTCCAAATCCATGGTAAAGTTACAAGCAATTTACAAAGCCAGATGATACCTTGAAATAGTCAATAAGTGCTTTCGAATACTTTACAGCATGGTCCCTTTTGAGTCGAAACATCCGCCAATACAGGAGAGCCAGACAGCGGTAACTATAGCCCAAAAAGAGAAAATCAGTTTCTTCAGAGTAGTCATAACTCTCAGACAAAACTGGAAAACATCTTCAAACATTTCAGTTGTTTCAAGGCACTTATTAGTTATAGACTGAGGTTCTGAAACACCAACTCAAATGTACCATTTAGAAAAGAACTTAAATTTGAAAAGATCTACAATGTGATTGCTTAATACAATACTGAAATCACAAACACATTCATCAGCTTCACAGCCTTTTTTTTAGGGAGTGTGACTAATGGGACTTTCCATTGCCTCTCAGTTTTCCTTTTACACCACTAGAGGTCAGTATCTTCCTGTAAAAAGTGAGTTGAAGGCTACAGGCCAGGAGGACCAAACTCCAAGGAAACTGTTATGTCCCCATTTCTCACAGTAACACAGGCTCAGGTGCCTGGCTGATTTTCAGTATGCTCTGCTGAAAAAAAACCCCTTCTTTCAAATCTTATTTCCTCACTTTATGATTAATCTAGTACTTTTATTAAAATTAGGAAGACTTTACATAAAGCTGGAAAAGAACATAAGCAGCTTTTTCCTCTGAAACATGCACTTTCTTTGGTGCCTGTCTCCGAATATCTAGTTTATTTTCTCTTCATATTTTTATAAATCAAGTGGCTCTAGTGTTAACTGGCACACCAAGTACAGCACAATCTATTGTTTTGTAGATTTATAGGCAAATCTCGGCAATCAGATTCACAATTCAGAAATATCTTCCTGAATGAACATATTAGAGATCCCTCATTCCATAAAGAGTCGCTGATCTTTTTATTTTGTGGTCTGATTCCTCGATTTGTAGGTCACAAATGGTACATATAAGCTACCTGCTAGCGGAAATTACTATGAAGTTTATAAAAAGTATGGAATAATTTGGTTCCTTCTTAGGAATTTCTCCTAAATATGACTTAGGAATATGAAGTGATATGCCCTGTGAAGTTAGGATGGAAGAATCATTGTTACCATCATTATCATTGTTGTTAATAGCAGTCATATTTGTGTATTGCTAAGTCCCTACACAGGACTGTATGATTTTATCATCATTGCTCATAGCAGTCATGTGAGTGGGATGGTAATCCATTACATAGGATCATAGGATTTATCATTATTATTAATAATTAATGTATTAGTTCAATGGTTATATCACTACAAAGAAACTTAAGACTTCACAGCTGGAAATAAACCTTAGAGATCATTTAATCCAACTCCCTTAACTTACAAATAAGGAAACTAAAGCCCCAAGGGCGAATATTACTGAACATTTTTAAAATAAATCATTTTATTGTCAAAATGTGTTGAACCTAAATAGGAGAAATCATTAAAGACAAGACAAATGAATTTTATTATGCAACAATAAAAAGACTTTGAACAACAAAAAGCAGTATGTCTAAATTAATGGAAAATAAGTAAATTGGGAAAATACTTGTAGTAAATATCTCAGAGAAAGGTGTGAAAAAGAATTCATAAAGAATGGATCCGTAGCTCTACAAGCATTAATACAGTCCTCAATGGTGCACTGGTCAAAGGATACAAATTAGAAAATTTATGAAGAGGAATTATAAAGTATTAACCACAAGAAAAAATGTTCAGATTTCCTAATAACCAGAAAAATGCTACTTTAGCCTCTCTAGAATTGTAAAAAGCAAAAAATGAAAAAACACAAAGTTGGCAGTGCTGTGGGGAAATGGCATTCTACAGAGCTGATAGGGCTATAGATGGCTACAGACATTTTGGCAAAAAAAAAAAATTTTTGGCAAAATATGCAATGAGTCACAAAATTGAGCATGACATAACTCAGCAATTGCACTGCTATGACTTTATCCTAAGAACATCATAAAGAGGATCTATACTTTAATAATATTCACATATGCCCTATTAGAACAGGAAAAATTGAAAACAACCTGTATGTCCAACAACTGGAAAATGACTGAATAAATTATTTCACATTAATTTATTCACTCCATAAAGCCCTAGTCTGCCACTTTGTTGTGGTGAGCATGAGTGCCTGAGTTTTTGAAGACTATGCCAATGGAGCAAAAACTCTGGCAGGTTTTACTATTCTGGAAAGGTTTTCAGTATGGTCTTGGCCATAGACTGAATCTGCTTTCCAAGGACCAGCCTAAGGACAGAGAGGCCCATCATGCTAAGCTAGCCACTTGGCAATTAATTTTTTTGTCCATGGCAACCCATGCAACAAAGAAAAATACAAAATGGGTCCTTCTGGCAATTCTAGTGATGGTGGTGGCAGAGTGGCAGAAAAGGGGCAGAAGATGCCAAGAATCACCAAAGTTCCAGACCATTATTAGGTTAGTCGCTGCTACCTTAAAATGTAAGCTCTTTATCCAGTGACCAATGAGTGGACATACTGTTGGAGAAAATGAATCCTATCAGTCTTGATACTCTCTCTTTAAACAAAACCAGAAGACAAAAGGAAGTTGCAGCTAAACGAAAAAATGTTTCAAAGATTTTTCTTGTAAAGGCGTAAACAATAGAGTTGGTGGAATAACATAATTTCATGGGACATTTGATCATTTTGATTAAAATGCTTACTATAAATGGTTATGAAAAGATTACCATGAAAATAGCTGTAGGTTATATGTCAACATCTGCTGTGAAAAATGAAGAAAGAGTGAAAATCTCTGAAACATCTCATGATACCTTCCAAACTAAACCAAAGGAAGATAGCAAACAAAAAGAAGGTAGTAAAATGTAGTTCAGGAGTAAGGGAAGAGAAAGGACAAAGGTTTGAAGATTATAAAGAAGTATTCTCAGACATAGTGTCTGAGGAGTATTTTCTTCAAGAGGAGAATAGGGAGGTACTGGACATGGAGAGCACCAAATGTTGTTATAAAAAATTGAATAGATTTTTAACAGACAGGAAATGACTGGTTACAGACATAGGAGTTATTTCTAAATTAGTTTTCTATCTACAGTTGGATTTCTGATTTTATTAGTATCAAATTAGATTTGATACTGTAAATATCAATTTGGAAGAAAATACTTTAAAAAATGAGAAGACCTGGGATACAAGTGGGGCATCTTCAATGTGACCTATTCAAATAAGTTACTGATGCCAAGAAATAAGAAACACAGAAAATAATAAGCATCAACACAGACTATTATAATTTCCTAATGAAACTTAAGCAATAAGGAGGCCAAATAACTCTACAAAGCATGTCACCCAGTAGATAACTGATCTTGCTATGTAGAAAGATAACTGATTTAGAATATAAACCTATCTGTAAGAACCCTGAGAATGACCAATAACCCAATTCAAGTGGACTAATGATGAAGCATGCCACTCACATCCTGACAGGTGACAGACTCAAAGACTCAGAATGAGACATACATTTTTGAGAAATGGCTAACGTGGGAATCTGGCTCATCTATCCTGAAAGTCTTGTTTTTCTTTTTTTTTTTTTTTTAATTTTCACTGTGGCGGAGGGTGAGAGGAAAAGAAAATAAATGCTATTAAAAAATATTATCGTGAAGGCTAGTGGAAGATTACAGATAGTTTTATTCGATAAAAAAATGAGAAACAGCAGGAGCAAAAAATAGGTTTACAGAAAATTTGGCGATAGACCCAAGGAAACCAAATCATCCTTATGCATTAAAGGATAAAACTGAAAGGGGCAATAAATAAATGAAAAACTGAAAAAATATCTGTAAAGATTATTATAACAAATTACTTCCTCTATTAATGAGAGAGGAGCCACCATCTTTAAACTCTAATGTCAGTTCTCAATGTACTATATGTGAGCAAGTAGAAATGGCATTAAAGAATACAGATGCAAAGAACAGTTGTATTAGACTAACTATACAAAGGAGATCTATGCTGTATGCAATTTTTTAAGGACACCGAGGAATCACTTATGAAATAAATCAGGAAGAGAAGATAACAAAGCTTGGAAAAGATCTTGGACTTTATATAAAAAGGTGACTTGCACAGAGGGCTAGCCTTGGAGTCAAGTATACAGGTTATGTAACCTTTGGCAAGTCACATAACATCTTGATAACTCTAGCAACTCTAAAACTATAGGCTGCAGAGAAAGTGCTTATCTGTATTGTTGGAGAGTATTCCCCTCACCAGTGAAATCAGAGGTCCAGTCCAAAAACAATACAAAAAGTGATCAAGAAGGTATCAATAATGTCTGACTAATATGCCAGCTTTCAATGTCCACAAAACCTCTATGAGAATAATTAAATATACTGAGATTATGTTTAATGAAGGTTTGATAAGGGAATAATCAGACTTTTGCAAATGATACTCTATGGAAGACCTTATCTTCACAGTCCCCAAAAAGACTAAAACATGCATAATACAGCCCCTCCTGTGCTTATTGTTTGTTGACTTTGAAATATTGTTTCAGTAGATCAAAACGCCTCCTTCCAGGCTCTCCTCTAACAATGTGTCTCCTATGCATGTAACAAAATCATATGGGATTTCTTAAAAGACATAACAATAAGACTGAGATCAAGCAAGGTGTAAAACAAAGAAATATGCCTCCCAAAGGTGTCTGCCACGGTTGTGACACAAGTCCTTTACACAGTCTATATGCAAGAGGGATTCCCTACAGTTCAGTCAATCATGCGTCAGGCCCTGTGCTTGGCACTAGGAATACAAGTACAAAGAATGAAAACTATCACTACGTGAAAGGAGTTTTCATTCTAAGATGATGAGGTCCTCCAGGTATGCCTGTTTGTGAGTGATATGTTTATCATATCAAACCTCTGAACCCTGCAAAGCCTCCTAAATGAGATCAATAATCACTCAGAAGGGTTTGGTCTATTTATCCACATGAATACTCAACTGAATGAAAAGCAATTATGATGCAGACATATGAAAAATCAAGGGAATGAACAATGCTTATGAAATATTTAGATGGACAATTCATGAACCTGATCTTTTCAGGTATGTAATTTGAACAGATATTGTGAATGTCCAATGATCTGGGCCCAGAAATAAACAGGAGGAGAAGAACGATTGTACTAATTTTGGGAAATTATATGGTGTTTTTAATGCCCTAAAATTTCTTGCTGAAACAAAGACTTTTAAAAAAAAATACTTATATTATTCTGGTAATGCTGTATGGCTGCTGGTCATGGAATGTCAGTCTCTCAGTAATTAAAGTTGTGGGGTCCCCAAAAGGCAACGGAGAGTTAAGTGGTAGGCATCAACATATTACCAATGAGTAGCTATACAGATGTGAGACTGGAAAACAAGGTGGTCACATTGGAATAAATGGGTGAGAGTGAGGGATAAACAAGAGGCATGCCATTTGCTTTATTGTTACCTACCCAAAATCTAGAGACCTAGAGAAAGGCCCTCAGCACACTGAGGAGACCATCTGTGGAAGATGAACAAAAAACGCATAGGGAATAAAGGAGTACTCACATCACTGAGATAAAATATCTATTGAACTTTAAAGAATAAGTATGTGTATACATATATACATATACATACACATAAGTATACACACACCCGTGTGTGTGTGTATATATAAATATAAATATAAATATAAATATATATATATATATATATATGTTGAGAGAGCAAGAGAAGAGGACAAGGGAGAGAGGCAGCATGAGTGGGTTGGACTAAGTGGCCTCTGTGTTCCTTCTAGCTCTGTATCTATAATCCAATATGAACATAAAGGAATATTATAGTACTGCAAAAAGTATAAAGCACATAGTGAGAAACTTATATGAGATGATGCAGTACTAAATGAGCAGAACCAGACTTGTATATACACACTGACTATAGATACGTAAAAAAAATGAAAAAGAAGGAAAACAGAATTAGAGGTATAACAACTTCAGGGAGGACTGACAGGGAACACAAACAAGAACATTTTCTTTGTTAATTCCTTTTGTTTTACCTTGTTAAGGGCTAAAAGTTTTCTCTAAGATTTCCTCCCTCTTGTTTTAAATGTTTAACTATTTTTTGTCCAAGTTTATTAATCTTTTCAAACTTTATTAGTTTTTGTATTTATAAAACATTTAAAAAAAATGTAATGAACCTGATCTTCACTTCAGTACAAATATGAGCTTTAATTTAAAGCAATATCTTGGTTCTGCTACATTAATCCTACATGTAAAACAACAGATGAGTTATTATGATTGCACCTAAAATGTTAAACACAAAAGAAATTACATGGACATTAGCATGGTTAGTATACAAGTCATTAAAAATCCAGACCCATCAAATGCTGAAAAACTAATTACCTTGATGCACTAAACCTGACCTGTCAACTACCAATCATTATGAATTGCTCAGGCATACCTGCAGAATTCAGGCCATTCGTAAGTCATTCAAGGTTTGCAGTTTGAATGGCTTCTAGGAATCCCCTAGCCTCCATGGCAAGATCTACTTTCTTAAGTCAGGAAACATAACAGAAAGCACCCTCTTCTTATGTTTATAGCACTTGTTTAAAATAAAACCACTGACAGGGTTGGAGATTTCAAATGAATCATGATATACCTACCACAATGCAGCTAATTGTTTGTCCTCTGGAGTGGCATTTGGACCTGAGTGAGTTTTTAGTCTCATAGCATACCTTTAAAAAAAAAGTAAAAGAAATAAACATAATTATCCCATGTAAACTGTAGAATATGCTTTGTGTTTGAGTAATACATAGTGTTTGCCACTGCTTTCTTACAAGCTGGCTGAGGTTGCTCCATTATCAATAGGCATTACATTATGATGACTACAAAAGAATGATTTTTATGTTCATCGAGCCACTTTCTGTTCTTTAATAATACAAATTCAAATACTACCAATAGCTAGGAGTGCTATTTCAAGAAAAAGCCATGGAAACAGTAACATATCCACTGCCACAAATTTTGAATGACAACTGAACTGCTCGGTTGCTTGACTGAAGACTGAGGCAGTGCTCAATACTTCCAGGCATGCATCCAAGAGAAGCCTCATCTTTTACACTTACATAAATGTTTGGATTTCCTCTTTTTTCTTTGTTTGGAGCTCTTACTTTGACAGCAGTATAAATGTCTTGGGTGCATTTTAATCTATATTTTGCTTCTACAGATGTTTGCTAAGAGAAGCTGCTGGCTTTTACCGCCTGTCCTTCCATTTGTTGCTCTAATCATGGTTATTCATTTTTTCTCAATAAAACATCCAATTAACAGGCAGAATTTTTGAGAGAACTTTCAAGCCACTTTTACATTTATTGAGAAACTTGAAGGAAAGAATTATACTCCCTGTCCATATCATTAAAGTCAGTTTTTTTTATTTGTGTTACCTAGATATTTAAAGTGAAATTGGTGTGGTAGTCTGGATTATCTCGGTTAGGCCTGCACAACTTGAGGCTGCCTCAGGCTGCTTGTGGCACACCAAAGGATTTCAGAGGAAAATGTAGAGGAAAACATCCTTTGTACGTAGAGGAAATCCTTTGGTGTGCTGCAAATGGGCTGTAAGCGGCCATAGGCTGCAAGTTGTGCCAGCCTGATCTAGATAATGGCCTTAATTAGGCAGTTAGGTGGATAAAATGCTGGACCTGAAGTAAGCAAGACCCGAGTTCAAACTCTGCCTCAGATGCTTGATAGCTTTGTGATCCTGAGCAAATCATTTCATTTTTCTCAGCCTTACTTTCCTCATCTATAAGATGAGGACAATAATAGCACCTACTTCACAGATCTCTTGTGAGGATGAAATCAGATAATATATATACAAAGCACTTTGCAAACTTTATAGCATTATATAAATGTTAGCTACTGCTACTGTGATGATGATGACGATGAATTATTCATTATACCATGATACCATGCATGTGATACTGGCCACAGTTCTAGCAAGGAATGTAAAGAATTCTAGAATGAGATAGTTTATTCCTGAAAATGATTATAATTTTGAGAACATCATTCTGCTGTTCTGTTTTATTGTCATATTATGTTGGCAATATTGTGCTACTGAAGCAGCAGGATGGTCTGGAGTCACTAAATTAACACTGTGCTTAGGTTATTAGACATATTTAACTTCTTTTGAAAGCTAAGCAATACCATCTCACTTAACTATAGTCTTTGAAGATTATATATTCTGATACCGAAATGACAATTATGAAGGCTAAAAGTATTTACAGAATATAGTACATAAATATAGTTGATAACAGTACTTCTCCTCTATGTCAATGTATATTAAAGAGATTATGGCTTCCAAGTTATGCTGTAGTGGGAAGAACACTAGTTGCAGTCTTGCCATTTACCAGCAGTGTGATTATGGAGTCATACAACCTATCTGGGCTTCAGTTTCCTCATCTGTAAAGTGAGAGAGTTGGATTAGGGGACTTCTATGGTCCTCTGTAGTGCTAAAAGGCCTATTACTCTAAAATGATTAGGAATCTTGAATATAGAAATACGGAGACTAAAAATAGACTAAAAATAGGGATATGGTCAGTGTTAAATCACAAATTACACTGACAGAGTGAATCGGAACTTTTCACTAAGTTTTAGAAAGTTGTTAGTGTTAGAAGGCACTAATTTCAATGAAGTAGTACTTTAAACACTGGGTTATGAGCAATTGGTCATTACAGGACAAAAAACATAAGGAGGTTCAAGAGTTTTAATCAATTAACTGATACAGGTCTACTAAAAATAAAGGAAAAGTTAAGGCTATATCTTTTGACATAAAAAATCATGGAGGATAATCATGCTTTTTCACAAAACATCTTTTAGTGTTACCATTAGAAAAAGAATAATGATTGTACAGCTAGACTATGGATTGATTCAACAGGAGGATAATTGTTCCATTTTCTCATTGTATCTCAACTCTGGCTAGAGGTGTGGGGGACATAAAAGAGAGGAAATTCAAATTTTGGGGTTTCATTGAGATACCTGTGCTGAAATGATATGAGCACATTATGACAGTAAGATGTGATGTTATGGATGTATATATTTAGGAACAGGACAAGAGTGGTTACTACCCTTTCCTATGGCTCCAATCAGGGTCTACTAATGGTAGTCATTTAGAGATGAATTATATCATACCCCTGTTGCCATTTGTGCCCCTTCCAAGTTATTCAATCCCAGTAGTTACCATTAGCACCCACCAAGAGTTATTTTTTTGTACAGAACATTATTTTTTACAGTGTGGCTGATGTTACAGGACTAGTGGTATGTGTTCATATCACACACAATCAAATAAGAAATACAGGTGAGTGATTGTTGCTTTCTAATTCCTTACCTGATGAGTTCCACTGTTTCTGAGTACATTGTATAGGGAGATTTAGATTCCATTGGGCCTTGCTCCATTGCATTTCCACACTCAATAAATGACAAGGCTGCTTCAGCATAATTCAAAGCTTTTCCAAATTTTTCCACCTAAGCAGAGAATAAAAACATGGTCTCCCTTAAGAACAGTTACAAAACGAACATTCTCACAGTGCTTTATTGAGATACCTAGCTCATGAGTTTCAAAAGTCCTGTTAATGAGGCTGAGAGAAAACAACACTAAATTCAAAGTGAGAGTCTAACACAAAACAAAACTGCTAATAAATGGGGTAAATCTTGGCACTCTGTAAGCCCTTCAAACCAACCTCAATACAAATAAAAATCATCATATTTTAGGCTTTTTAATTGAGTCTTACTATTCATCAAAATTCAGTTCTATAGGGAAGTACACAAAATTTACCAGCTTACTTTCACCACTCAGGCAGCATAATCCATGCGGTGTCTATGTAAAATAAATATTATGCATGGTAAAATGAATTCAAACAACATTCTTTGCTACAGATGTTCCATAAATTGTGACTGGCTTTAGTTACATGAGCAAGTGGTTATATGCAGAGTTGTACCTCACCCATATAACAGGTGGCAATTATTTAGTATTCATAATGCAACAGCAAATTCAATTCAACAAAGATTTATTAAGCATCTAATATGTGCAAGACAACCTACTAAATCTAGCTGGCCTTAGCCACGCTTCCCATTCCATTCAGGCCTCCTTCTTACCATCTGCTGTACCGAGACCTTTTTATTCCACTTCTTGCAACTCTGATTTCCACCTCTTCCTCTGGGAATCATAATCAAATCTATTCTGACATTGCTATTGGGAAGGGAGGTCACTCAACTCCCCTAGGGCTCCATGTACCAAGTATGTCACTTGCCAAACCAAACACTCCTCATTGTCTAATATGTGTTGTCTTTTCCTATTAAGAGTATAAGCTCCTTGAGGGCAGGGAGTATACTATTTTTTAATTAGTAACTCCTGTGCATGGCATATAGTAAGCACTTAATAAATGATTTTTCATTTATTCATTCCAGATGCTTTTTTCCTAGGTCCTTAGAGATAAAGGTTGATATGATATAGACCCTGCTTTTTTTTTTTCTCCTTGCTTTTTGGTGGGGCAATCAGGGTTAAGTGACTTGCCCAGGGTCACACAGCTAGTAAGTGTCATGTGTCTGAGACTGGATTTGAATTCGGGTCCTCCTGACTCTAAGGCCAGAGCTCTATCCACTGCTCCACCTAGCTGCTTCCCAGACCCTGCTCTTGAGGAGCTTTTGTGAAAAGCATATGTTTGGGGAGATATATACACAGTGAGTTCTAGGAAAAGGTTGGTAGAGAAGAGACAGATTTGGGAATTTGGGAGGTGATAAATGAATCCACAGAAGTGGATGAGATCACCAAGGAAGAGAGGAGAAGAGAAAGTAATAAAGGCATCAGAGGAAAAGGATGAGGCAACAAAGGAGACAGAAGAACATCAGAAAAAAAGAAAATAAAAATTAGAGATCAGCATCAGAGAAACCAAAGGTGAGGAAATGAAAGAGAAAGTAGTCAATAGAATCAAATTCTGTAGAGGTCACAGAACACAGGGAGAAAGTGAGTTAGTGGAGGCAATGAGGATAGACTGGTTCTTCCTAGAAGTTTGGTCGTGGAGGTAAGTGAAGAGTGAGTTCAAGGAGGCCAAGAGGTTCTTTAGGATAAGGAAGCATGATTTTATGGGAAGATGGGATCATAGGATTATCTATTTAGATCTGGAAGTGACCTCAGCGGCCAGAGAGTACAACTGTAGAGTATAACACCTCCATTCTGGGGAAACCAAAGGCCAGAAAGGCTAAAGGCACAGTAAGCTGAATGACTTCCTCAGTCACAAGCACATTAAATAGCTGAAGCAGGATTTGAACTTAAGATGTATTAGCTTTTACTATGACTCTGTGAGAGATGATTGATAAAACAAGATCATAAGAGGAGATGGGTGGAGATATTATCACCCGTTCAAAGGTTTTGCAGAGTTTAGAGACTTTATGGGCAAATTGCTTTATAGACTGACTAGGCCAATTTATAGCTCTACCAAGTGTACCAGTGCACCTGTTTTCTGCCAGCCTCTACAAAAATTGCTATTTTCTTTTTGTCATTTTTGCGGGTCTAATAGGTGTGAGGTAGAACTTCAGAATTATTTTAATGCGCATTTCTTTAATTGGGGCATTTTTTCATATGGATGTTGATGGCTTTGATTTCTTTCTTAGAAAACTGATTTTTCATATCCTTTGACCATTAATTGCTGAACATCTGTCATTCTTATATACTTGAATCAGTTTCTTTATTCTTCAAGATCAGCCCTGTATCAGAGAAATCTGCTACAAGATTTTTTCCCCTTCTAATTTTGAACACATTGATTTTGTTTGTACAAAACCTTTTAATTTTATGTAATGAAAGTACAATATTTATCATGTATTACAGTACTTCTTTGCTAATATTTTACTTAATTTTTTTGTTTAGACATTCACTAGAGATACTGGGCTATAGATTTCTCCCCTATCTTGACTCTTCCTGGTTTAGGTAATGACCATATTTGTATCATAGAAAGTACTTGGGCGGATGCCATTTTTTCCCTGTTCTTGAAAACCATTTATATTAGAGTAATTGTTCTTTCAATGGTTGGTAAAATTAACTAAGTCAAGCTGGTCTTGAGTCTTTTTTTCCTTTGGAAATTTCCTTTGAGAATTCATTTGTGATTCATTTTTTTCTTTCTGTGACTGTATTACTTAAATTCTCTATTTTCAGTACTGTTTATTTTATATTTTTGTAAATATTCACCTTGTTCATTTAAACCTAATTTTATGGGCATATAATCGGGCAAAGTGGTATCTAAATAATTTCTGTTATTTCTTCACATGTTGTGATTTCTCTTTTTGCATCTCTGATACTGGTAAATTGGTTTTCTTTTAAAATCATAATAGCCATTTTTATTTTGTTAAAAACAGCTTCCTTTCTATTTATCAATTCAATTTTTTTTTTGCTTTTAATTCTGTGAATCTTTTCTTTGATTTTCAGAATTTATCTTCTGATGTGCAATTTGGATTTTAAAACTTGTTGGTTTTCTGGTTTTTTAAATTACATATCCAAGTCTGATATTTATTTTTTAATGAGTAATGTGATCAGTCACATAAACTTTACCCTGAGAACTCCTTTAGATAAATCCCCCCAAATTTTGTTATGTTGTCTTATTGTTTCATTTTTCTTTATGTTGTTATTTGACCTACAAATTCCTTAGAATTGTTATTCAGTTTCCAATTAATTTCTGATCCTTTCTTCCAAGATCCTTTATGAATATGACTTATTCCATTTTGGTCAATAAAAGATATGTTCAGTAACTGTGTATTTCTGCATTGATTGTGAAGTTTTTATGCCCTAATACATGGTAAATTTTTACAAAAGTGCCATGCATAGATGAGAAACATGTATACTCCTTTTTATTCTAATTCAGTAATCACCAGAGAGCTTTCATATCTTACTTTTATAAAATCCTATTTAGATCCTTGACTCTTTTCTGGTTGGTCTTTTTGCTTGATTTGTCTAAGTCTGGAAGAGGTACTTATTATCCCCAATAATTATTTATATTTCTCCTGGTAAACTGATTAACATTTAAGTATTTGGTTTGCCATTTGGTGCATATATGTTAAAGTATTGGTATTAATCCACTGTCTCTGGTATCTGTAGGCAAAAGGTAATTTCCTTGTTT